TATATTTCTCAGTAACACCGTAACTAGGTTGCATCTCTAAATCCTTCTTATTCAGATTGTAATCCAGCTCTTTGAGGGGAATCACGGTCAGCCAATTTGAGGATTCCTTCTCTGTAGCTAACTCAACAGCTCGCTTAGCTTTTGTCGGCAGGGAGTTCTTTGCCTGCTCTAGTCTCTCACTTAGACAGTCGTCTTTTTGTTTTTGTTTCTCAGTTGCAGTGTTCGAATTTCTGAGGCATCTGGAGGCTGGCGCCCTTGCTCAACAATTCGTCTCACGAGCGGATTAGTAACTTTGACTGAAGCCTTGTACTCAGAAGATGAGGTCACTACAGGATCTGTAAATCCAAGGCGTCCCATGCGCACAGGGAGACCAAGGTGGTCGTGCTCTACTTTAGTGACTAATAAGCGCAAAAATAATGATGATGACAAAGACCTTATACAGTACATCCACCAGCTGCCTCCTCGCCAAAACCACAAATTTTTACATAGTACATCTCTGATCCTGTCAATTCAAATTAATACAACCAAGCGCAACGTAACAAAGGCGTGAAAACAAAATTATAATATAAACTTAAATTAAAACAAACTAATTATATTTATAATTTCATCATAACTAACTACTAAAACAATTTACGATGCTAGTGTTCCAGTGATGTGTACGTTCCATATAAAGTGCTCTTAAAATCTGTCCCAAGCAACTAAGAGGATGGACGGTCCTCTCCTTTACAGTTGATGTCCAACATTAATTTAATAGGTGATATCTTCCCGCCTAGTCTTCTACGCATTAAGAGCTAAGTTGTTATCAGCTGACTAGAGATAGAAGGGTTCAGTTCCGCAGCACAATTCCTTAACATATTGCAGAAAAAAGGCTGTATCATCTGCCTATTGGTAGCATGGACTTTTGCAGGTTGGCCACGTATAAGTTAACATGCGTAGCATCCAAGCACCTGCTACGCAGGCTACTTATAAGTTATGGTTGAGTTATCCCACTGTAGAACCCTGCGGGACACCAAAGTCCACCAACGCAAGACTGGATTTCCTGGCTTCTATCTGAAAAAACCGGTACCAGTCGGAGAGATAACAAAGCAAACATCTCAGAAAGCTGCCGGAGAAATCCAATGAGTGTAGTTTAGCTGGCCGTATTGAAGGCCGTAAAGCAATCAGCTCAGACCAACATCATCACTACACCTCTCTCCATTGCTCGTGAGAGATCATTGCAAGTCGGCGAGAGAACCTTTCTTGCGTACTAGTTAATCGCGCGTGCGCATTCCACAACTAACAAACTAAAATATTTATTTTTTAAATTTTTTTTATTTTTTTACTGATTAAGTGTACATAACATTTATACAGCTATTTCGAAAAAGGTTGTCAGACAAAAGTGCAAGCAACAATCCCGAAAGGTATTGTGGGTGGTTTTGAGTTCACTCATTTGAATGAATGGAACGAGAGGCCATGGACGTATGTTTGCGAGTGCTAAAGGAAAGCAACAAAAGTAGGTTCGACAGCTACAGTGTCAGCAACAGTGTATTGATCATATCCCATATTATCTTTCGGGATTATCGCGTGCACATTTTTTCCGACAACCTTTCTCGAAAAAGCTGCATATACAAGGTGGAAAAACAATAGAGCACAAGTCCCCTATAAGGTTAAACCATAACTTAATCTTCTTCGCTACATTTCGTGGTTTGGATCATGTTTGCCAAAAGCTACTTTGTAGAGTCCAAGAAACTGAAAAGTTTACGTTCATTTAAATTTAAACAAAGTATCTACTCTAAACAGAAATTTGAGTGCGTTAGGTCGATAACGTGTATAATGTAGCACGCTAACGTTAACGTACCTTCTATGCAGTCGTATAAAACCACAAAAGGTATGTTGATTCTCAGGTTTCTGCACGGAAGATAAAAGCCGAGGTAAGTATCATGAGCCACATGAATGCTGCAATCGGCTTTTCCATCGCAGCTCTTCATAAAGGCGCAAGCCAGACAGTCTTTCTCTTCTCTGGTAGCCTGACACTGATCATTCCTGTTGAGTAAACTTCCATTCCCATTGCCACAGTCAAAATTTGCGAGCTGCCCGACCTTGACATTAATGATATGGACAACAGAATTGTCGGCATCGCAGCGGATATTCGCCACGTGATTCTCGCACACATACTCTGTAAAAACATATGGAAATGAGTATAATAAACAATTATTGGATGAGGTTATTGTGATATCCGGAAAAAATCAAGGTCGAGGTAACTGTTATCAGCTGAGCCCAAGACCGATACACTTACCGAGACCTTGATTATTCCGGATATCACCCAACGAATCTAATAATCATTTTATTGTACATTGTTTTGAAACAAAGAACGACAAATACATCGTCGCACGGAACTGATTTGACCTTGCTCTTGGAAATCATGCATTGAGTGCGCAATCTACAGATTAGTTAGTTGTCTGCTTGCAGATACCGTAAAATTCCGAAAATAAGCCCGGGGCTTATATTTTTCAAAGGCCCTTTTTGACGGGCTAATATTCGGAGGGGCTTATGTACGGAGGGAAATTTGCGTCAGTCAGAGGACTGCTCAAGTTATGGAAAATGGCATGGAAAAATTCTAGCATAGAATCATTTCTGTCACCTGAGATAACATCAAATAAACCTATTCCTCGATATGAAAACATCAAAATGCATGCATAGATTGCATGATTTGAGAGATATGAGAAAGTTCTCAGCTTCGATTGGGATAAGAACAGTTTTTCTGATCTAAAGCATTGTGATGTGTTATAAATAGATGGGACTCCTTCACTTTTTGTCAGACGTAAATAGTCACGTTATCAACTTTCTGTAACTACGAAAAGTCACGATCTCACGATTAACTTTCTGCAGGCATGAAACAGAAAAGATGATTTTAGCAGAAAATAATTAGCAATTAATGAATGAGGCTGAGTAGGATATGAAGAATTAAGCAGATCGAGGAGAGTGTTATCTACAAAGGCCGAAGGCCGAGGTGGATAACACCCTCCGAGATCTGCTTACTTCTTCATATCCTACGAAAGCCGAATTCATTAATTGCTTTATTATTCATTCAAGATAATTCCTAGTTTAAAAACATAGCTGAAACATGCTTACCTGCATCGATGTTAAGTCCATCTTCGATACTGTACGTTTAGGTTTGTTCAGCTCAGCAAATATCCTCCAAATAGCAGGCAATCCGAGTTGTCTTCTTGCTGTTTTTGCCATGTTTTAGCTATTTTTGCTCAGTTCCAGCTGTAGTCCTTACTCTTGAAACGAGTGAAATGTCCGCCATTTTTTTTTTCACAAACGAAACAACTCAACCTCGTCCCCAGGTCTTCTCGGTTAACGGTGCATTAACCTGTAGAAGGTTGCATTTTTTGACGCCATTTCCTCGTTAAACACAACATTCTTCCAAATTTGGTCATCAGTAACTGTTTATGGTGAATTATGCGTGTGCTTTTAGCCAATCAGAATTGGGGAAATATTTTGAATGAATAATAAAAGAGTTTAAGTAACCTGTAAGTTTATAACCATATATATCAAACGAAGTGATTGAGGCGGCCGCCGAAAATTAGAAGGGTTTGTATGAGGAAAACAACTCTTGTCACCCAGTCATGATTGGGCGGTTGAGTGCCTATTACCCGTCAACCAACGGAGCGAATGAGAGAGAGACCCTGGTTGGGCCTGGTCACGTGGCTCCAGAACAAAATTAATTCCGAGGAAGGAGTCCTATCTCTTTCAATTTTTTTGTCTGGTTCTTTTTCACCTGTTTTCAGCAAGAGCAAGATAGATTTGCTAAGCCTACAACTATAACTGAAATTTGGAGAATTTCTGCCTAAACAGAATTATCACCAGATAAACAAGCGAATCACCTGCACGGAAGGAATAAAAAACTCGCGTTGTCGCAGTTTAACCGATGACACCGATCACTAAAATCTACGATCTTGAGTTCTACACAAGCGTATTTATTTATTGAAGGGAAAATCCCTGTATGTTAAATTTGCATTGAAAGTATAAATGTTTGTCGGCGACAGCGGCTGGTAAACCGCCCAAATCAGTACATGCAAAACCTACACCATTAGCGGTCACAAAGCATATCAGTTGCGTTGAGAGCAGAGAATTCATTTTACATTCACGTTCAAAATAATATGTCCACTCTAATGACTTAACGGAGAACTATAGTCTGAAATGTCAGCTTTCTCCAACCCCTAAGCTTTTTTATGATGCAGCAAATTTTCGAGGTCGGTGACCAGGGGACGGAACCGCTTGATACATCTTTTCGGCGCCCTTTGGAACTGCATAATCTTAGTCTTGAAAATACATACATTTGCTTTCTAAAGTGGCCTCCACAACATAGAAATGGCAATACAAATCTCAGTGCGTTTCGGTAGGAATACAAATGCCTGAAATAGTTTTGACAGCGCAAGTGGTGAATCCGCGATTTCCTTTGCAACATCCGATAAGCATCCATATATTCTGCAGGAAGTTGCGCTTTCTCTGTCAAAGGATTCGGCGTTCGAGGTTTTGTCTTGACTAGTCTAGGAACCGATGAAAAACATGGCACACAGTCTCATGGCCGCACTTTTTACTGACCTGTCTTCGCGTTGTAGAGACAAATCCAATCAGTGGGAGAGACTGACATGTTTTAGTATCCCGGGTTCCAAAAAAGCAGTTTTATTTATATAGGACACTAGCCTGCGAAAACATCCGTTTCTCCTTGCTCTTCGCCGCTGGAGACGTTTCGCGCGGAAGAACGTCTGCGACTCAGCGACAGAAATTCCATACTGATGACGTAAAATATGTCCAGAATCCAGTGAGAAGCCCTGATTGGTCGACGGAGTAGTTACATTGTTTTAGCTATTGTTTACGAATGACAAACAAAAGTCAAAAGGTCACAAAGGTCAAATGTAAACGCGATGAATCTCTAACAAAACAGTCAATATTTGTGGAATATAGTCTTCTCTACAACAAGCATTTGAGTTTTCCTGGAGCTCGTTCGCAGATGAACATAAAGGTCGGTACACACGAGGCGACAAGTTGCAGCAACATGTCGCGGCGACACGTTGCAGCGACAAATCGCTTCGTGTGTACTGGAGATGAAAATCTTTGTTTAATTTGTCGCCAAAACAAGTCATTCATGATTTGATTTTTGCGACTTGTTATGCGGAGACAAAGATTTTCAAATTCTCCAGTACAACAAGCATTTGAGTTTTCCTGTCGAGACCTCGGAGTGATCTGTCGCCGCGACGTGTTGCAGCAACTTGTCGCCTAGTGTGTACCGACCTTAACACTTTACCAAGATTGATCAAGAGAAACCTAAAATTGAATAAATTTACATTTCGAACCCCACGACTACCGGATTTATTAAGTAAACATTGATTTGCGTCATCAGTATGGAATTTCTGTCGCTGAGTCACAGATGTTCCTTCGCGCGAAACGTCCCCAGCGGCGAAGAGCGAGGAAGGCTAATAGGACACCTTTCATAAATACGGCAGTATTTCTTTTTACTTTATTTAATTTTGGGTTTGTTTTGTTTTTTCTTTTTATTGTTGTTGTTGCGTCACAACATTTTTTATATTTCACGCACACACAGGATACTTTTATTTTATTGAAATATTGTCTGAATTCATTATTCTAGACTGTGATGCGTGTTTTTTGATGAACAATTTATCTCTCCATCTATCGATTCTGGGTTGTTAATTTATTTTTTAATTCTGCCGACCAAAAAACATTTTCACCATACGTAATTTGCATAGACTACAAAGGAGGTATTCAAATGCTGTGGCTTTTCAAGAACTTGCATTTCGTCAGCTGAGCACAAAAACAAAAGTTTTGTGGCGTAACTGTTATTTCTATCACGATGATTTTATGTTTTCGGCACTTTTTATTTGTATTTTGTTCAAAATTCCCAAAAGATTCTTTCCATTTTACGGAGAGTAACACTGCAAGCGACGGGTGAAGAAAAATACGAAACTGGTTGCACTATAAAAGTCAAGCAAGCTTACGGCTGACCCGGGGGGGGGTACTCTCCTACATGAGCCATATTGGTATGTGCCGCCCCAAAGGATAGGGGTTTTGCGCCGTTTTGATCTGTAAACGGGTATAGACTTTGCCTATTTTGGCCTGGAATCGGGTATGGTTTTCAAGGGGAATTAAGGGAGTGTATGAACGAATTTATTGTTTCAATTCCCAATGAAAAAAAAAAGAAAGAAAAATGTGCGAATTCCAAATGGCTTTTAAGAAATACTTTTTTTATGCGCTAATCTAAGTAACGACGCCATAAATTCTTAGAGGCCAAGTCTGAACGCAAGTCTGAAAAATGACAGTTTTGGTCTGAAATAAGGTCAGGATTTGGAGAACCCGGCTGCACACCCCCACCAAGAATTCCCAGAAGTACCCCCCGGAACGGCTGAAAAAGTTTCTTGATAAAGAAATTATAGTAAATCCTACCACGTCCCTTATAAATACATGTACCTGTCTTTGGAAAAAATAGTGAGTTCCTCTTCGGTATTTCGCATCTCTGGCCTTTGCATGGAACAGTTAACAACATCGCGATACCCTTTATCAAAAGCCAGACAAGAGACGGCATAATTCACCGTACACTGTGTCAGCGCTGTAGAGGTTAAACAGTTGTGGAGAGCTTGGCTCATTTGAAAAGTGTCGAAGGGGCAAAGATTGTTAAGTTCCTTTTTGACAACACTGATTACGTGCTTTGACCGGAGCTTGATCGATGTCCTTTGAAATTTAATGTTATCATCACCACGAAGTTAATATCGTAAAAGCGTTTTCACCCAGTTAAATATTTAAACTTCTCTAAAATCATTATTCGTTCATTTAATGATGATGGCTTTCAAGTCCAGGCGGTTTGCGTCACGACCCACAAAAGTTCATGGGTAAAATTGTTGCTGTGCCTAATTCAATCGTAACACGGTCGAGTTCGCATGAATCAAACGCAGGGATCAAAACACTGCTTCCTTTTCTCAAAAACATTACGGAAAAGAGCGATTTCGAGAATTTTCAAGATCTCATAGTGGCCTTAGATGCTTGCTATTAGCTTCATAAGGCAATTTCAACAAGTTTATCGCGATTCGGGAACGATCGAAGGTGCGATCTAGCCGATTTTAAGCGACGATTTTCTGCTTCTCAGGGGAGCACTGTTTGGTTTATACGTATATTTTTTATCTCAGAGTGAAAGAGATCTGTAGTTCATACCTGGATTTGCTTAACTAAAAAAAATTCTTCCCTTAGTAGAATTTATATATTTGATGGACTTTATTACCGCCAGGGAGGGGGAGCGCGAGCAAACAGCAAGGTGAGAAATCATCTCTCAAACAATTTTATTTTCATCGAAAAGTTTATATTATTTTGCAAACAGTGCCCGTTTTTAATCCTATTGCGCAAATAAATCTTCTATCAGGCAAGGGGAAAACAGACCGAAAGAACCGAACAGCTGCAGCACAATGGGAATATCCGTCACCGAAGTTACAGCCGCAGAAATAAACCACGATCTTGTCTGTGCGTTCATTGAAGTGAGCGCAGTCTATCGATTCCGTTATAAACCTAACCTCGCAGTTTTAAAAATCCTGCATGTTGGCTAGATCTTCGATAATGGTTTTGAGTTTTGGTAGAGATTTGTAACAATTTAATCCCTCACGTAAAGCTTACATAAAGATTTGCATGGATAGCACACACTACATCCAAATTATTTTAAAGTCAAGCTTTCAGTTTCCGCACTGGGTTTTGAAAAATGTTTTTTTTCAAAGGTCATTACAATATTCAAACTTATTTACCTTTTCCGTTTAAAATGGAACAAACTCTTCCTCGATTTGGCGTTTCACGCTTCACGTCGGCTTCCGCTTCGGCATGTTTTCTCAGCCCGTTTCCCGGGAGCTGTGCTACTTGGTTGACACGACCTCTTAATTTCAAGACACTTTAAACGGCTCATAACGGGAACACAGTCAGGGGTAGATCCGGGTAGATCCCGAAATTTGCAAAGAAGAAAAGTTAAAGTAACAAGATGACCATAAGAATCCGATAAAATCGTTAACAGTAGCCAGCAATGAATCCAAGGAGAACGGAAAAAACAACACTCAAATCATCATGGCGGCTTGTACGTGACCGAGCAATTCAAACTTGTCACAACGTAACTACTATCAAGATAAAGTGTTCCAACAACTTTCCACGGCCGTATAGGGTGGAAATTACCTACACAAGCTTGGAATAAAGCCAAAATTTCACCATATACACTTCTGAAAACGGCTCTTCCCAAGCGCGAAAATCACTCTACAAATAACGCATTCTATTGGTCGAATCTCGTGACGCACACCGCCTGGCTTTTGTCTATAATTAAATCATACAGTAAGATCATAATCAGAGTAGAAAAATCATCGACAAGAAGGGGTAAAAGTGAATGCACTTCCATCGGTTCAACTAACTCAAATTCATTGTTTTGAATATTTGACGCCCGTAATACGTACTAGAACTTATTTTTCTATAATTATAAAATACACAGGTGGTGTAAATCGATTACATTATGTTAATCAATTGTACTTGATATAGAATCATTTTCTGTCTTATTAAACTGGCAATCCCTTTTGAGGAAAAAAAAGCCACTTCCCGAGTACATGTAATTGCTTGAATAAACTTTCTTAGCGCAACAGGCGTAGACTACGAGTAGTCCCCCATTTTTCCTCAGGGATAGTAGACCGAGCAAAACGCGCGTGAAAATCAACCCACGCAAGAAAAGGCGACACATTTTTCTCTCTCCCTTCCGCGTGTCGCCTTTTCTCGCGTGGGTTAATTTTCATGCGCGCTCGCGTTTTGCTCGCTCCACTATCCCTGAGGAAAAATGGGGGACTACTCGTAGTCTACAATAGGCGAGTTTCGAATAATTAAATTCGCACATCGTTGCGAGGGTGAGGGGAATTAAAAGAAAAAGAAACCGCATAAAAATTCAGGTGTTAATGATTAATTTCTTTTGAATCATTTCCCTCAAACTCGGAGTCAAGTGTAGATTTGGGTAATTTGTAACTCGACTCTCAAATTTTCTTTTTTTTGTAAATTTGCTATCTTACCATTTTCACTGTGTCTATACCTCAGTTAGAAATGACTAGCATTATCCTTCCTTACGACGGGCAGATTAGTAAGGAAAAAAAGTTATACCTGCCCCCCCCAAATCCAAAATTTTGCCAAAGCAAGAAGTGAGTGATAACTTTAGGTTAGGGGAGGGGAAGGTGGGCGGGTCCTCAGAACCTTGTACAGTGGAAAAGTGATTTTTCGAGCCACCGTGAGAAAATAAATTGGCTCGAATTAACAGGGTAGGAGGTTTGAAAAATCAAGCTTTAGAGAAATCAGGATTCTACTAGAGGTTTGAAAAATCGAGGGTAAAATTACAGTTTTTGACTGGTGAAGTGTAGTTATGTTTAGGATTCTTTTTTACCAATCGAGGACAGGACTGTACTAACTAATTTCTCCGTGCGTCAGATGGACTACCTACCTTTCACCATTTGAAATCACAAACAAAAAGCTTGCTTCGTGTGATAGTACCTATTGTCTTTGATTGAGACATTTCATAGCAGAGACCTTATTCGCCTGGCTAGGATAGATGGGAGATGCGTGTTTGGTATACTGGTGCTGATACGAACAATGATTTGATGCAATAAGGGGATCAAAAGCAAGTAGCTTTCGGTCTTTCAAACACTATTTATTTGAAGTTCAGCCCAGATCACTTTCATCATTAATGAGGACGCTTTCAGTACATATCGTCTTCAAAAACTCTTGCAGTTTTCCAGTGTCGAGCAACTGGTACTTACTTATCCTCAAGACTAGAAGACGTAGACCGAAGTACCCTTCACATTTAAGGTTCAGTTCGTTGATATATCAAAAGAGACATTTAAAATCACATTTACAGCAAACGACAATTTGAGCCACGTGACCGAGCTCCTTTACTCTTTATTATGTTTACCAAGAAATTATTAGTTTCCAGCCAGTTTCATCCATACGAATAAGTTTGCACAGTTCTGTCTGTTTTCTATTTGAACAAACTGTCAGCTTGAATTTGACGTTTCCCGTTTGCCTTAACGGGGTTCTAAATCCCTCTAATAACTCCATCTATGTTTGATAACTACTTTTTGTTTTGCTAAATATCGTTTTTATATTGATTATCTTAGTTGCCTTTTTTCGATACGTTATTTCAGTAAAGTCACATTTTAAACTGATACCGACTCTGGCATAAGACATTGTAATTAGAGAACAGATGAAAAATGAATTGGAATCCTCTTACTGTCACTGCTACTTTTAGTACTGATAAATATTTATTGTTATGGATTTGTACAATAAATGAATAAATATATAACTATTGAAACGGCCTTATCTAAGACCTGGCACTGACGTTATACAAAAGAAAGGACCACTCCCCCAACTCAATCCACTTAACCGCTATTACAGCTCGGTCTCTTTCTGGCTGCCAGGCTTAAGGTTGTGCTGTTGTAAGAAGTAAAATTAAGATCAATTTACAGTTAACCGTGTGTTACTAAAACTGCAATTTTGGCCTTTGAAACGTGACAAAGTTTAACTCAACAAATTGTTTCCTGGTGCAAAAAGTATCAGTGATATGTGGAGATATGTTAGGGTTCACCGCAATCACGAAAGTAATAATTTTTCTTTCGTGGAATTATATACTTTAAAAGTTGCCAACCCGAAATTTTCTCGAAGTCAACGTAGACCAAGCTGGCACTTATTTGAAAACTTAAAAAAGTCTAAAAGAAATAATTTTTTGGATTGTTTGTTTGTTTACTTTGCTTGTTCCGGCACAGAGTAAATACCAGAACGAAGATATCTTCAAAACTAGATACTAAGAAAGGAAATGTTAATGACAAAAAAACACTGACCTGCAAAACAAAACTTAATAATTTTCAATTCCGTTAGTACCTGAAATAAGTGAGTTATTGCGAACAATACTTTCGGTGAATGGCTAACACTTTTAACAACACATACATGTACGCGTAACGATGTTTGCACATTTTTGAATTCGTTACAATTATATTTTTCCTTTATATGACCACTCCACAGTCCTTGGGAAAAGTTTACAAGGGGTGTTTAGATTAATTCCCTTCGTTTTTCCGGTATAACTGTGTAACTTGATGTTTACTATATTATCTTCGGTTCCACCGCAATCGACAGTGTGGTTGCAGGTTGTAACTTTTACGCATGCTCCCTCGTACTACGACAAAAGCAGACCGGAAAAGGAAACAAAACAAAAAAAGAACTCAAAGAGCGTTTATGAAACTGAACTTTGCGGGGCCTTAGCGCATTCAAAATCGTTCACAAGATAATTACAATAAAGATCTGTAAGACAGCAAAGATAGTAGGACATGTGCTAATGCAAACTCCACCAAATAAAACGAAATGGACAACTTCAGCAGAGACGTCGCCCTCAGAACCTTCCTCATCTTCTGGTTCGTCACCTCTTTCTTCGTCATGTTCTTGTTGTTGTTCGATAGGATTGCTTGACATTGTTCCACTTGATAAGCTAGGTGTTGTAGTTATATTTAAGGGAGGGGAGGGTTTGGATGGCTTTGTTAAAACCATCGTAGACTTCTTAGGGACACAATGTGACTCTGAAGTTGGTGGCTTTTCTATAACAGAAAGTAAATTGACTTTTTAGATTTTAAAACTTTACATGGGCTGGTGCACCCAACCGCTCCGGTGCGATGTTTGTTATGTGTGAACGATTTGTTCCACTTCTACGCCGTTGCGTAGAATGGCTTTAACGACGAAACTAAAAGCTACCCTATATATTTTAAACACAATAATAATAGTAATAATAATAATAATTAATAATAATATTAATAAAACTAAACTCTTTAGTCACAAGTAAAAAGGAGATAAGTAGGTTTACCCGGTCTTGTACATCCCCAAACTAATCTAGCTTAATTTAGGAGCCAGCTTAACTAAATCAAGTGATTAAGCATGGAATGATTTAAAAAATGTTCTTTAAATCGTTACAAATCAATTTTAGAAACTGCTAAGAAATTAAGAAAACAACGAAAGAAATCTTCAGTGAAGCCATCTTTTTCGCCTCTAAGACCCATCTCTAACGATTCCTGACAGATTGCACTTAATACGCGAGATCACACTCAACAAATTAGGATAACCCCCCAGCCTGTTCTTACAATATCCCATGATTCAAATCACGTGCACAAGACTAGACTTCCCTTAGACTACAACTTCCGGTAGAAATATATCAAAACATTATACCGTCCACACGAATCCCGACTTTTTTGTTCTTTTTTCGATCAAATAAAAATGGGGAGGGGAGCTTACAAAAACGCCGCCATTCTCGGTGTTAAGATGGCACTCTCTGCGGTTAAACTCAATGAATTCCGACATCGAGCTTCGGACTTCGGTCTCTATTTATAGTGACCAGGTCACGTGTGTTTCGTGACTTGTATTCACCGCTCATTGGTCCGAATATGTGTTCACGTAACGACGAAGAGTACGTTGCAGAGACTTAATCGATATGTGACGATCCACCGTTTCGAGATCGACGAATCGAAGCTCTGCTCCGTTACAGAAATCCAACTGAAATCACCGTTGTTATGGCGTGAGCTTAAGTCGTAAACGGTCGTTCCCCTTTTAAACGGTCGATGCCACCATTGGTAACCAAGCCTTTATTCATGATAGATAAAATATATTCCCTGAATTAAGTTAAAATAAGGCAGGTAATACGTTTTGTGAATAGCCTTAGAAAGAACGACGTTGAAGCTGTCTGATGTAAATCAGATACACCCTTGATTAGCTTTCGCTTGTAGTGCCTCGAACTAGACATTGCCCACCTGGTTTTATAAGATAGTTTATTTAGTGATTACATTTGATTAAAGGGAAAATATGAATACAGTGTAAGTATACCTGTTATGGTAGCATTTACCGATTCAAACAAGCAAGAATATAAGACATTCAGGTACTCAGTGTTGATGTCAGGACAATGGTCACCCATCGTTTTCTCGTCGACACTGATATTACACGCAGCTTTTCCACTACAAAGTCTTCTAACTTTACCAGTTCTCACCACAGGGGAGCAGTACTCCGCTGTTTTGAATCCATTTGAACATATTTTTGAATCCAAACGCAAATATTTTGCCCAGATAATTTTAATAACCTTTGAGCCACAGTCAATCCTCATGACGTCGTTTTGGCAGGTATATTTGCTGACATAGCTGGCGTTGACTTGATGCCTAGCTGTAATTAAGATACATAGAAAACGTTTGCTTCAGTATAATGCTATTTCAATGAAATCACTCAACTAACAATGAAAATTTTCTTAACCTAGCATAGCCTGCGTAGCAAGCATTTCCGTGTAAGTTGGGACCGAATGCGAAAAAGGGGAGTTTTTTTGTTGCTTTTGTTGTTGTTGTTGTTTTTTTTTGTCTTTGTTTTTGTTTTTTGTTTTTTCACTCTAATTTTCGCGCCTGCATAACTTGTATGGAAACGCTTGGTACTCAGGCTTCCCTAGCATATCTATTGCTTAAATGACTGACCATTATTTTCACTAGTCATAGTTTTTGGGTGAATCATATTTGGGTTAAGGCATTCTATTTACTTAACACTGGGGCTTGACAATAGCTCTTAGCTCTGAGAAAAATACAAAATAAGACATCCACGCCAAGGACAAAACTCTATAATACATAGATTTAGCCAGGGCTAAAAGCGAAGCTTCCGTTTATATATTTTTAATAAAAGCAATCAAATTTAAACTAACAAACTCTAACCCCGTAAAAAGAAATCTTCAAATCCCTACTTAACGTTAGGAGCTTTCGGCATCAGTTTACCTTTAGAGGGAGCGTAAAGAAAAAATATCCCGCAAACACACACCTGAAATAAAAAAACCACACCCCTTTGCGAACTTGTGGGACTTGCCAGGGTCTCTAGGGTTAGTATTTGGGAAGACCTAACAGAAAAATCAAGCGGACTTTTGTGTTCCCTTAAGCTTATTATGTGTTTTCTTATCGGCTTGGTGTTTTAAGGGCAAATGGGACTTTTTAATGGTAAAATCAGTGCCGTCGATTAGAAAATTTTGTTATAGTCACTATAACAAAATTGTCTAATCTAATAAGCCCGCTAAGTATTGGCCATTTTATATGGGAGGGTATGGGTTCCGAGGAAGCCTACGTTAAAAGAAAAGAAGAAGAAGAAGAAATTATAAAATGAGCTGGTAGGGAAAATAGACAGCGTCATAAAAAAGAAAACACAATGAATCACCTCTTTAAATGTTCCTTTTTTCAACTAGGTTGTCCACTAATCCTTGCATTGTTACTTGTTATCAGGAATTTGGCAACCTTTGTTTTCGAAAATATGTCAGAAACTATATTACCAAAAACTTCCTTCTCCAAAAAGAAGAGTCGGTTTGTTGTAGGTCGCCCCATTGGGAACAGGGACCGCGGAGGGGAAGGGGCTTGTAGGGCTATAGCTCTACCACTTTTTTAAGTTCTCGTGGAATTATTGGACTTTTCCCTAAAAGGTGGACGGTTAGAGCCAGTTGTTTTCGACGAATTCTTGAGAACTATGCAGTTCTTATGGAAGAGTGGGATGTTTGCTTGTCCGAACGATTACAACCCGATGTGCGTGCAAGGATAATAGGATGTAAGACTTAAATGGAACGATTTGACTTTTTCTTTGGTTTGAATCTTGGAGGGCGGCTCCAGTTCCACAGACCGATGATCTATCTAAGATAGCTGCTGTCAGTGGACAAGGCCTGACATTGGCAAATCTAACAAAGGAGACGCTCAAAAAAAGTGCCCAGTGATCAGAGCTTCGACCATTTCCATGCTAATATTTCTCGCAAGAGAGAAAGCCTGCTTGGTAAACCAACGCTTCTAAGAAAGCGATGCACTTCGGCCAGACTGAGGTTGGTACTGGTGCACCAAGCTACCCCCAAACTGCCAAAGATCACTTTAGAAGGGTCTATTGTGAGGATATTGATCTTATCATCAGCGCTATCTATCAGGAAAGCTTCAGCACCTACGCCAAGATGGAGACCCTCTTGATTAACGCTGCTAATGGTGACGACTATGAGGCAGAGTTCAAGTTTCTTGAAGCATCATACAGAGAAGATGTTGATACAGGGGCGCTGCAACTAAGTATTTTGGAAGTTATGTTATAGGAGAAGATAGCGTGTTTTGACGAAATCCTGTTGGCGGTGTCAAAGTTTCCAAAACCAGAAGAGAAGCTAATTCAGGGAGCCCACACTATCTGTAAGCTGCCTGCTGTAAATCCTGCAACCAGCGCTGCTGGCGAGCGTTGATTCCCATCTGCACGGCGTCTGCAGACGTGGCTTCTATCCAGGATGGGTGACCTAGTAGTGTTGAATGGTCACAAGCGGAGAACAGACAGTGTCTCTATAGCGACACAAGAGTTTGTTTCCCGCAATAAGAATCGCAAGAGAAGCTTGGGCACTTTGGGTAACTTGAAAAAGTAGCAACCTCAGGAGGTTTATTTAACATATTGGCTATATTGGATAGTATGACAGGTGTGGACGTTTTTGTTATATTTGTTGAGGTGGTAAATAAGATGGCGCGCAAATGCAAGATAAATGGCGAAACACCGACCTGAATGTTTCTTTATATTGGCCAGAGGTTTTAGCCCTACCACCTTAAAATGGTCTCTGCGGTCCCTGGGAAATCCTTCCTACACCCATGGTTTAGTCTTAGAATTGTCGTTATACACAGTAACTTTACAAATTGAATCATTTTTTAGGCAGTAAGTGAAATCTCTTACGCACTCCTTCGTTACTACGCTTTCGTCAAGCGGTGACTTTCGTTGTCAAATTTGTGACAACAAACATGTCGTAGTTTTAAGCGTGTTCTGGGCTTCCATTAAATAATGGCAATTCTGTAAGTTATGAGATTAAGTGATAGCGAACTTTCGTTTCACAGTCAACAAAATTTCTTGAAATACACCCATTCTTCTGCCCCTCCACCCGCCAAAAACAACTTGTTAGAGTCCGGAGTGGAATCTCCTCGATTTTTTGGGATTCAAAATGTAATATATTTTGCTACCTCCTACTGTTTCAATGAGCGGCTTTCTTAAAAACCATTCATGTCAAGTCAGACCATTGTCGTCAAAATATCCTCTCTGTAACTCAAAGCCCATTCCCTTCGCATCCAGAAGTTCCCCCTTAACAGCTTTTTGTCGTCACGCCTAGAGTTCAGTCATATTTATTTAAGTGTTCTCCAGACTTAAGAATACCGCAAGTGCTAACATTCGTTCAGATATCTAATTCTTAACATTAAATCTTTACATGAGGTCTCAAGTTAGATTATGAACTAGTCAGTAAATGAACCAAAACCCAAGACTTTTGGCGCGCTTCTTGAAGGGAAATTAGAATTTTAGAGAAACGCGCCATAAATCAAGATAATAAACTCACATAGCTAATTTGAAATCACCGGTAAGAATGCGCTTCATAAAATTGGCTATCAAGGAGAAGCGGTCGGGCTTGGAGTATATAGAATAAGTACGGCTAATTAGGCAAGCTAAAGGCGCTATCTTGATTTGGAAACTAATAATAGAAGAACAATCGTTTAGTGTTCATTCTCACCTCAGGGATAATGTTTTTCTTAATTTAAGTCACTATTTCTTCATAAATTGTTGCCCCAGAAATTTACCAGTGTCCAGAGCATAAGAGGACTAAAGACTACAAAACAGCCTCCAAAATTTCATGCCCTGAACACGACTGCAAGTCTGTGGAAAAAAGGTCTTACTTGTAAGCTAAAATGTCCTAGCTATTACCTTGGGGTTTACAGAGTACTTCTCGATTAAAAGAAACTGATCATGAATGGTTGCAATGAACACCAAAGAAAATGTCGCTTTAAAAAATTTCAGGAAAACCCGTCATTATATTCATGTGGTTCATTCATCAGACTCAAACTCTCTGAATAATCATGATTGTAAAAGGAGCGATGCTTTAAAAAAAAATACTGAGATGAAACATTTCTTGGTCAGACACTGGAATGAAATGATTTGTAGGGCGACGAGACATTGAATTTTCCCATATTTTCTTGCTGCTTTAGAGGAATGCAGCACATAGGAGATTTACGACATGTAATCTTGTTTCTCTACACATACAAACTAAAGGAGAGCCATAAGCATTTTAAGCACTTTCCTGCCAATTTCATAATTTGCGTGTATGTGGTAAAAGAATTCTCAAGTCTCTTGTTTAGTGAAAGGAGATACACAATATGACCCACTCTTAAATACTCTATTTAGATCCTAAGAAAACAAAGAGAAGTCTTACCATTCTGGAACAGAGGCAGCTCGTTGAACGATATCAACAATAATACTCCTTGGAAAAGCAATGTCAGGCGGCGCATTTTTTTCGTGGTCTATTTTCTATCTTATATAACTCAAACAGATGAAATTCTAGCCGTCCGAAGTGTTGTCACAACAGAGACCGCGATTTAAAGCATTATCACTTAAGAAAAAAGATTTAGTGTACAATGTACTAAGACTTGCACTTTTGCTCCAATGATATTTCTCCTCCTTCGATAATTGAAACTCATTTAGGTCAACGCGTGTGACCATAAATAATAAATGCCAAACATCTTTCTCTGTGCGTCTCAACTTTAAAAGTTCTAAGCATTTAGAAGCTTCGAAATACTTGCAAAACACCCTTCCGAAAAATATTTCTTCTCATTCTCCGTTTTCGTGTTGTGTTGGTTTAATCTTCAAGGGAAGCCAAAAAAGAGGAGTAGAATGTCTAATATCCTAATCTCTATGCCATATCTTTAATATGAGACACTGGTTAGGTTATAAGAATTTCTCAAATAGGATAACGCTTTCAAAGCGATTTTCACTTTAATTTGCTAATGACGTTAACATGATATACTACATAGCCAACCAAATAAATTTTTCAAACGTGAATTTGAAAGGGGACGATTCTCGATCGAGTGGTAACACTTTTTTAAAAACCTAACTAATGTTTTTTTTTATTTTGTTATCAGAGAAGGCATCTCAAGTCAAATGTTTATAAAAAGCATATTGGTCAAATTTTGACCTTGTGGAGCGGTACTACTCCAATAAAGAGATAAAACGATTTACGATTGAAAATTCCACTACATCTTTAGATAAAATTACTTTTTTCGAGACAAGAATCTCAGCGTATTTCTTAATCAAATCAATCAAGAATCAGCCAAGGGTTTAAAAACGATCTATTGCTTGTGGCGTTTCAGGGCATTTCCGACAAACTGCAACAGTCAAGCGATAACTTTGTGTGGTCGCCTTCCTTAGAGGCCATTCCAGAACCAGAAACGCTCCAATTTATCTCAAAGGACATTTTTGAAATAGAATAAAAGAATACAACTGAATCGAGGGAACCGCATCACTTAAAAGTTAAAAGCAAAATTAAAATGAATTCACTTCTTGTGATTTTAGCTAAATTTCTGTTCAATTGGAATGAGGACAGTTATCTTTTTACATGACTTCGGAAATATCGACATTAACTTTTATTACGAAACATCACACCGCAAATATTTGCATCGAGAATTTATTTAAGGTAAATCAGGCACAACAATTAAAACATTATTTTAATGTTAGCATTTCGGAAAGAAGATTGAAAATATTCGAAGGAATTCTAGCGATAGGAGTATTACAAGTAAACTAGGAAGCGGACATATTTGTTCCTTTCTGGACCTTTTAAAAGATGTCTTTTTCTTCCAGTGATTATACAATTATGTTAACAACGCATAAAGACAAAATAAAAACACCTTAAAATTGGCTGTAGACAATTCTCAACCTGGTCACGTGACATGATACAAGTCTGCTGACCGTTATTTTTGCGTTATAGCTGAGGCAATCAAAGAAAGTCAAGAGAGGATAAAGGAGACAGAGAAGGCATCCCCCATACACACCCTATTCCATAGGTAATTCGTCTCGAGTTATTTTTAGAATCGGGATAAAGTTACCTCGCGCGCTGCGTGGATGTTTCGTGGAGGTTTCGCATGACTTAACGCTGTGCAAAACATGTCGGGCGAAAGGCAATAAAAGCGTAAAGAGATCGAGAGCATCCCTGAATATTGACGCGAAATGAGTCGGCGTTCATCTGGGAAAAGAGAATCGCTAGACTCTTTGACAACCGGTGAAATCAGTTTAACTCGAAGTTGTCTTAACCTCAGTGCTTTAATAAAATGAGAAATTTCGCCGGTCTATTAAAACCGGTCGCTTGTACAATAAAGCAAGTAGGACGCCAAGTGTCATTTTTGTTGAATAATAAAAGACTAATAAAAGAATAAATATCAAAACAGAAATTGCTCTCTTCAAACTGTAAATTATAATGATCCTGAGAGAATATTCAGTGTGTTAAGGATTTCCCTGCTGTACTGTGAGCTCTATACAAGAGAGGAAGGGCGATTCTTTTTTAAGTCTAATCCCCCTTGGGATCTGTGGTCTTAAAAATAACTCCAGACGAATTACCTACGGAATAGGGTGTGTATGAGGGATGCCTTCTCTGTCCCCTTTATCCTCTCTTGAAGAAAGTTGTATTCACAATGTAGTTCCAGTTGAAACCACAAATGTTGTTTAAAGCTGCTTTTCAATTAAGAAAGTAAGGCAAAAGGTAGGATATTTGAGAGTGCTCTTAAGTCAAAGCGTTTAGGAAAGCTGTTTACATAAGGACATGTGAAGCGGGGTAATACGTAAATGGCGTCTATATCGATTTGTGTTAGCTGACATCGATTCTTATCGCTTAAAATTCAAACACTCACGCGCGGTGTATTTTTTTCCATTTGCTAAGAAGATGCAAAAACTCAGATGTTACCATTCCCTCTATAGTAACCTTTAATATACATTACTCCCTTGCTACATCATAATTTATATTAGAAAGACTAAGGAAAGTGAACATCGTTTAAGTAGGATCTGTTGTTAACTCGGTGTTTGTACAACTGCATGGGTCATCAGTAAGTTCATCCAAACACTGCACGCCAAAGTAGTTTTAATGCAAACTCATTGTCTTTTGCAATTCTCGCAACCTATGATTTTGCTACGAATAACAAACTAAGGTTTTCTGTATTTACTAGGACAGGCTAAGAGTCAAAGAAATAACCTTTGCAATTTCTATGTAGAAAAGGATTTCTAGAAAAACGCCAATAAGGACCGAAACAAAGCATAGTTCCATGTTGAAATTTAGCATACTATCATACGGTTCAAGAAAAAAATTGCCTTAACCAACTGTTGTACTTTATTTTTGCCCTTATGACTAGAGCTTTTGAAGCAATTTGTACCTAGTCTGAGTAAATGTCTTTTCAAACACGCTCTCCATTAAGAAAGCTTGGCAGAAAGTTAAAAGAAAATACAAAAGAGTTCTTGAATAAAAGCGTTTTGAAAAGCTGTTTCCTTCAAGACAAGAGTGGGGTTATTACGGTAAATGGTGTCTATAAATTGTGCCAGCTGCCACAGATTCTTATTGTTTCAAAAGGTAAAAACACCCCTGCGTGGTGTTATTGTAGTCAGTTTCATGCCTTTCTTGGTAAAAAGTGACGGAGACAAAGTGAAAATTTAAAATCACATGTCTTAAAAGCACCCCTTGAAAAAAATAAATAACCATAAAAATCCATCCAAGTTTTCTCACGAATTGTTGGTGTGTTGTTTTCTTTTTATTTTGTAAGAAACCAGCATCACTAAGCTAAGTTAAAGGTTCCGTTCATATCTTCGAAGCTGCATGTTGGTCTTTTTTGTCGTAACTTGTCAAGATCGTTGTTATTAGACACTTTTTCAGTCAATCTTGGTAGAACTATCACCAAACTTATTTGAAAAAGTAAATCGGCTGAATCAGCAGCTATTGTTCTCTTTTTTTATTATTATTTCCACAAGCATTTCGGTCTTATTGTGTTTTGCCGTTAAATGCGACCACAAATGGGTTTTGTGCTACAAGAGAATCTTCATAGAATCGTATACTCAAAAAGTGAAAAAGCTCACACCCAGAACAATTTTATAAACATCACTTGATTTATTGTTATTTTAAAAATCAACAAATTCTGGTATGCTATAAAACTCAATCAGTCTTAAACAGTAACGGTATCAAACATATTGCCAATGTCCAGTGAAGATGTATAAACGATTTCATAGTAAGGAGTGCATTCCATTGTGCAGTAGGGGCCAATGTCTTCTGCACTGCTGCTGTCGTATGCTTCCACTGCAGTAAAGACACTTCCCGAATCCTCCTCCTGACATTGTTCAGTTACATCACTATCATCGGCCCCGTCATCGCTATTTCTTTCACTGTCTTTGCTGTCATTGATGCTACTTAGGTTGTCTTGGTCGCTACTTTCATCGCCGTCACTTGCATTAGAGCTACTCTCACTTTCAGAAAACCCTAACATTGTTCTAAGCTCTGATTTCGCGCTGTCATTCAAAAGTTCGCACTGATCAAACATCAAAGCTACCGCCCATTTCTGCTCTCTTTTTCCAAGTTCTTTTACGATGTCTCCGCACAAATCCTCCTTCTCACAAATCTTACCCTCCGACCAATCAGGCGCAATCTTCTTGAGAACCTCAGTCGTCCTGGCCACATGCCTCGCCTTTTTCCGCTTCACACTCTTTTGGGTATTTTGTTTCCTTTTTCTTGATTTTCTTTTCATTGCAGAAAAGGGGTGCTTAAATGCTGCTTTGCAGGTTTCTTGGAGCTGACTTAGACTAGTTATTAAAGTGTGTAATTCATTTCTAAAACCCTGCAATTCGGTTAGCTTTTGCTCATCAAAGTCATGTGCAGTTTTATGTCCTGTTAAAACTCTACCTGATGAATGGATTGTTCTTTCTAAGTGTTCCTTTAGGTTTTTTTGTAAAGTTTCGATTGAAGTTTCGACCCTCTTTATGTGTAACATGTTCTGCGTTATGGTCGTTGAATCATGCGGCTTGAGAATGTGGTTTTCTCTTAGAAGAAATCCAGCCTTAGAAGGATCCTTTACAGATTTCAGTTGCGCTAATTGCTCTCTAATTTTTTTACCGCCTTCTCATTGTCGTATTCCCTTCTCGCTTCTTCATGGAATGCTTTCTTAAAGGCCTTCTTGTTTCCACCAAAATAGCCAACCCGTTCCAAATAAAATGATTCGTACACTTCGTTATAAAATCTGCTCATGTCATTCCGGGGATTTGGGATCCAGCCAAGGTTTTTATCCTTGTTCACGCTTGCTTGATTTTGTCTATTCGCCGCATTTTTGTGACTTGTCATTTCCGCTGTGGATTCCTGAGGCCTCATTATGCAGGACCTGAGGGGTCGAGCAAGAGGCCGATCCGCGCACAATTTGTTTTGAAATTGACTACAAAACAGGAATTCAATGGTCCTGTTTAATGTACGGGTTTTTTGAGAACCATTGGGTTTTGTAAATAGTGTATTAAAATAGTAAACTTTTTTCTTATTCCAGGAAATAATTGAACGTTGTAAAAGACATTTTGTCTCAGGGTTACAATTTTTGGGCTCACATTTTAAAAGGGGGGATTTTTGGGCTGTTAACCTGA